ACCAAACACAAAGAAACTACTTCAGAATTAATAGACAAACAAAACCCGATAATAGCCATAAATAATGTGAACACGTTCTTTGCGAACATAGGCATAAATTTAGCTGAAAAAATAAAAATAAACTCTGAAGCTCAACCGAATATTTCAAAATCTAACCCACACTCCTTTATTTTGCTACCAACAGACCCCGAAGAGGTTAGATCTCTTATCAAAAATCTTAAGGCAAACTGTGCCGTGGGTCTAGATGGTATCTCTGCTGATGTACTTAAAAATAATATTAACATACTCACGGACCCTATTACCTACATGTGTGTTCCCAGAAGCTCTCAAAAAATCTAAAATTTGTCCGATTAAATATAGGCCTATCTCTATTCTATCTACTTAGTCCAAAATATTAGAACGGCTTATACACCATCGACTTGCACAGTACCTGGAAAATAACAACTTACTAGCACAAGCCCAATATGGCTTTAGATTAAAAAAGTCCACGGCTGATGCCGTCCATGATTTAACGGATTTTATAGTATATCTTGCTCTATACTTTTGAATAAGCTTGAAGCACTTGGGATACGGGGAACACAACTTCGCTTATTTTCGGATTATCTTAGTGATCGCCGTCAATGTGTGAAAATTGGTCAATACTTAAGTACTGAAGCAAAGAACACTGGCTATGGTTTTCCCTAGGGCAGCGTTCTGGGCTGTACCTTCTTCCTAGTTTATATCAATGACCTCTGCAGCCTGAAGATACCAAGTGGTATCATAATATCTTATGCGGATGACACGGCTTTATTATTTGCAGCGAAATCTCGTAGTGAAGTTTTTGAGCTCGCTCAGACAGGCTTTAACATAGTGACTAACTGGCTATATAAAAATCTACTAACCCTAAATACAGATAAAACCAAATACATTATATTTTCAATGAAGGGTACAAACATACCTATAATTAGTCCAAAGATATACGCAAATAGCTGCAAAATATCTGCTGACTTTGCGTGTACCTGCCCTGCTTTAGCAAATGATCCTCCGATGAAGTGAAATATCTAGGTGTTATCCTTGACCAACATTTGAATTTCCGTAAACACGTTGACTTATTATGTACAAGGGTACGAAAATTAATATATATATTTAAGAGTCTTCGCAGTGTAGCCGATTACACATTCTTAAGGCAAGTCTATTTATCGTTGTGTCAATCAATACTTACTTATTGCATTACTTCATGGGGTGGTGCAGCAAAGTCAATATTACTGCCTTTAGAGCGCGCTCAAAGAGCCGTTCTGAAGGTGGCGACATTCCGCCCATTCATATTTCCTACACACGAGCTTTACATTGCATCTAATGTACTAACAGTCCGACAGTTATTTATATTGCACAGCATTCTAATACAGCATACTGAACTGCCCTATAACCCCATATACACATCAAACAAGAGAAGGAAGGACATAGTGTGTAGCAGGCCTCAAGCTAGTCATGCATTTGTTCATAGATTTTATTTATTTTTAGGACCTTTTTTTTACAATAAAATTAATAGAATACTAAATATATACAGCCTCAATAATAAAAAATGTATGATCATGTTATCAGAATATTTAGGTAAATTTAACTATGCAGACACAGAAAATGTATTGGCAATTGTTAAATGAGTCTTAAATAGTTTTTGTACAATATTATTTTCTATTATTTGCTTTCGTACGTGTACACTTTGTAGTATTTTTAATATTTTCTAGTGATCTGTTATGTTTATCTTACATTTCCACCTTAAAAATTCCATGTCAAGCGATCGCCTGATGGTGATCTGTATAAGGATGGTGTTGGATGTTTTCTTTTATTATAATCGCTGACCCAGCATGTGATGTTCCATCTGGATGGTTAGTGTAATATACCCCTTCATTAGGATGATTTTGTTGTCTGTTATGTGTATTATCTGATATTAGGAGAATATCTATCCTGTTATTCTTTATGAATAATTCGACTACTTGTTTATTGGGAGACAGGCCATTTACGTTCCATGCAGCAATGCGTAGGAATTTCATCATTTCTTATATTGTGCAATTATAGTTTTTTATTAATTGATGCAAAAGAGTTCGTCTATCGATGAGTTCAATAAGATTATTCGTTCTTTGTATAATTATGTTGCATAATTTAAATTTGTAAAAGTAATTCTGTATCATTTGTCAAGTGAGACAGTATAAATTCTGAAAATTTCAGTCTTTTTCATTAGTTTTCAAATAACAATCAAATCAAGTTACAAAATATCTAAAGACTTGATACTACTAGGTCTACAGTCCAATCTATCATTCAGCACTATAAAAATAATAGAATGACTTCTTGTTTAAAGAAAACTGGTCGACCACACTTCACAAGTGCAGTAGAAAACAGAATCCTAAAGAAAATTATCAATAATAATCGTCGTGCTCGAGCCGGAGAACTCACGGTGCAATGGAAGGACATGATTCACAAAGACGTCTCAGTTGATACTTGCAAAAGAGTCCTAAAAAGAATGGGTTACGGATTTTACACCGCTAAGGAGAAACCACTGTTGACTGCTGTACAAGAGAAAAAGAGGTTGAAGTTTGCTCGTGATCATTTAAATTGGACTTCCGATCAGTAGCGTAGTATCATTTGGAGTGACGAAATTTGAAGTGACAGTCGGCGATAAAAGAAAAAAAAGTGAGTCGGAACAAAAATAAGGCATTTCATACTGATTGTCTCAAACGCAAAGTGAAGTTTCCGGCGTCTCTTATGATATGGGGCTGCATGTCTGCACAAGGTGTTGATGGTATGCAGTTTATGGATGGTTCTATCAATGCTGCAAGGTATCTAAACCTTTTGAAAGAGAATTTACTGCCCTCTATTTCGTCACTTAAGCATCAAAATTCCTTCATTTTTTTAACTAACTAACTAACTATTGCATTTCTTAAAATGCAATAGTTATTGCAACAAACAAATAAAACGTAATCAGTCAATTGCCGAAGGCGCGTGGTACGTTTGCGCATGCGCAGACCATACATCTAGGGTTTTTGAAATTCTAATGATAGTGCAGTTAGTTTCGAGTAGGGTGCAGTTTTTCCACTGTGCAAAAAGTACGAAATTTGAAGTATTTCAAGTGATATAGACGGTGTAGCAGGTAGTATCTTTATTAATTTTTTTACTCGTAAATTATGAGGGTGCTGTTTTAATAATAAATAATTTTGGAAAGTGCTATTTAAGATACGTCGATTGGTATATTCTTTTTTTTTATATCTCTAATTTACAGGCTGGAGTGGGAGGGGGGGTCCAAAATGGCCCGAAAATGATGGTGATTATTGTAAAATTGTTTTTAATAACAATAATTAAAAAAAAGACATGCATATTCCCTAATAATGAGAAAGTTTGTATGTGTGAATTGTATTAAATTTGAATAATTATATTATATTATATTTTATTCTAAATTACACACACGGATTATTACATTTTCACGAAAATTACACTAAGTTATTAGCTTTTTTGGATTATAATAAAGAACCGATAAAGCCAATGATTAAGAGTCACAAAATAAAAATTAGGCATTATTTTGTTTTCGTGTACCATAGCAAACTGGAAAAAAATACTAGTCCCATACTTTACGTATGTGTGTATAGTATTAATGTATAAATATAGATTAGTAGGATTTATGTATGATTAATATTTCATAGGTTAAGACCTTATTTATTTCTCTAATTTCTGTATACTTATCACCAGTTCAAAATCAATCAGTTCATCCTGAGGTTGCCTGGAAAAAATTGCACTAAGCGACTGCCCTTTGTACACAATATATGTTGTTAATTACTTTATAATGTCTGTAAAACCCTGGTGTACAAATAAATAATTTAGTACAAATAAAGAGTTTATCTATCCATCTATTTATCTGACTAATACCCCTTCGACGGACACGTTCCTTTGATGACAAGTTTTCTTGTAGAAATCAAACTAGTTTACCTAGAGATCTACGTATGCTTCCGAATGAAAAAAAAATTGTGAGCTCTTGTTCGCGGAATTAAAATTAGCATTTTATTTTAACAAAATGTATACTCAAAATGAATAAGTCCAATAAATTCAAAAAATCAGAATAAAAAGCACTTTAACGACATTGAAATAAATGTATTTACAGAACGCATTTTGATTTATTAACATTGTTGCACTCATCGATCGGTGAGTCTCCAATCAATAAATTTTCATTTTGAAATTTTTTGCCCCTCGCCAAAATTTCAGCGGGTCTCACAGATTGTGTCGTATGAATGGTTCGTAAATATGAAATAGTTGCACTTCTTTAGCATAAACAACAATCCCAAAGTGTTAAAATCTCAACACGAATATAAATTGGAGATGGCTGTAAGTATTTATATAAAATAAAATTCTTATTTGTTATTATATAGATTTTTTGTTGGTTTAATCACGCGAACTTCACTCACGACTTATTCCATGGTCTGATTTATATTTTTATTATATTCTTATTTGACTTAATGGAAGTAAAATGTTGTATGGGTCGATTTTAGTTTAATCGAATCATTTTATCTCACACTTAACGTTGGTATACAATTCTATGTGTATTATTGCATATTATACAATATATTAATAAAACATATTTACGAGTCGCCGACTACTTAGAACATAAATAGACCTCACTGCAGACGAAAATGTTTTATAATTTATTACAATTTTAAATATATTGTCAATTTTAAATTACATGATTGTTAAAACTGCAATATGAGGTCAACTCATAATACTAGGATTGAGGACCTAATCACGATTTCCAGTTTTTGTGCGACTAGAACAAACAACTATACAACTAACACAAAATCTACATCCAGCTGAGCTTAACGCTTGCTATTCTTTTCAATATTAAACTACAAATAGAATCATCATTTGTAGAGTTAATCAAAGTTAATTTGAGTGCTTGACAAGATAAGATAACACTGTGTTCCGAGGTTCACAAAGTCGTTGATTCTCATCGTGTGTGATACAGTGTCGGGAAACGTTTAGAGATGGATCCCAATTCAGTGCCCGAGTTAGAACAAATTAATAAAAAGAGTACGAATAAAGATGTTAATACAAATATAGATGAACAGAAAAATAGTTCCCATTCACCGTTTAGGAGACAGGTTTGTATACAATCATTATACAATATTTTTTATAAATATTTACGTACCTTAGTTCGAGTATGATTTTAAACTGTCCATTTCCAACTGTCCAAATTTTTATTCCTATCATTAGAACAATTATTAGGCCCCAGGCAACCCCGCAGGGCAAATACCAATAATGATATGCAAATGGAATTTTTATTAATAGCTAATGTTAACCTTTTTAATGTATACTATGTACATACTATAAATATCCACGCGGCGATATTACTCGTGTGTAAATATTCATGGATTTTGCACGAAAATGTAATTCTTATTTCAAAATAAATATAGCGTAAGTTATTCTTTATTCTGATGTTGATTAACCGATAGTTAATGTTATACCATTAACTATCTGTCAGTGAAAATCATACCACAATCATATCATGAAATAAGGAGAATTCATACGACATAATCTGTAATACCCGCTGATATTTTGACCAGGAGACAAAAAATTTCAAAATGAAAATTTATTGAGTAGTGAAAATAACCGATCGATGAAGGCAACAATGTTACACGAATCAATAAAACAAAATGCCTTTCTGTAATTACATTCATTTCAATGTCATTAAAATACTTTTTATTCTGATTTTTTTAACTTATTTGACTTCTTCATTTTGAGTATTTATTTTGTTGAAATAAAATGATAATTTTAATTCAGCCATCAAATAAACACAACATTTTTTTATTCGGAAGCGATACGATGATCTTTAGGTAAACTAGTTTGATGTTTACTAGAAAGGCAGGTCAACAAAGGAACCTGTCTCAAGTAATCTTAGGAATGGTTTGGAATGGTCTATCTATTTCGTCGATTCGATTGCTTTAGTTTGTTCGTTTGTTTAATTCATAACTACTGTTAATTAAGGTTTTATTAAATCATAATATATTCCTTTGCCCATTCGTTTTCTCTTTTTCTCCTTTTTCTTTGATTTCTACCTGTGGTTGTTTTTTTTCTTAATTTCTTCAAAGTCGTTTATTGTCCCTTCCTGATTGATGAAGCTAATTATAACAAACCTTTCAAGTTAAAGGTTTGTTTTATACTTTAGCGAGAATGGATGTCATAGTGTAATGCATTTCTCAAACCTCGATACTAATACTATTTAACCCAAAAATATAAAATCTATTAACAAACTATTACTGTTCTATTGTTACAATTATTTATATTTTTAATGTACTTTAACATTTAGCATTATATGTGTAAATAAAATATTATTATCGCTTTTCGATACTTCATCTGACGATGTGGTTTTTTGAATTAGGTTATATATCAAGGATATCCACTATAATATTACAATAATAAATAAACTAAAAGTTTTTTTACGATTGCAACATACGATTTATAATTTTGGAGAGAATGAAATATGTATTTAAAACACTTTATGTTCAACAACATTTTCCGTCACGTCACGCACGTCAAGGAAGTATGGGAGTTAAAGATAAAAAAATTGTTAGTAAATTGAAAAGAAAAAGTAACAAAGGAAAGCAATCATAGGAATGGGGTATCGAATACGTAATTGTATTTTAGCTTAATCCTAGTATTAAGTTTCCTTTATATTGCGGGTGTATATTTTTACGTCCACAAATAAATTGATTTTCTTTCTGTATTTTTAATTGTACGGATGAATTTGAAAGAGTGAAAGGAACCAGTTAAGCAGATCTTACTGGCTAAATTACTCATTATATTCTATAACTATTTAATGTTATTCTAGGCTTTCATATCATTCGGAGTATTTATGCTGACATTGGGAGCTGGTGCCACATCGGGCATCTCAGCAATCCTTATACCACAACTACAAAAATCCAGGAATGATTTAACGACAGAAATGGTATCATGGGTAGGTGTGTACATTTAATTTTAATTTATCAAATATAATGACATTTATTTCCGAAATAAACTTTAGATAAAAAAAAAGACGATGTACGAAAGAATAAAGACAGTTATAATAATAATTATTATTTTTCTTTACAGCCGCTACATCATCCCTGGCCTTATTCTTCGGTAACCTGATATCTGGATACTTAATGGAAGTACTTGGAAGGAGATTATCTCAGTTACTGCTAGCAACTTGTTTTATAATTGGTTGGCTGGTAATTGGGTGCTCCAACGACCTTTTATCTTTAATATTATTGGGAAGATTTATTACTGGATTATGTCAAGGTTGGCTAGGACCACTGGGACCAGTATTTGTTGGTGAAATTACTTCTCCTGTCTATAGAGGCTTATTTTTAGCAGCTTTATCCTTGGGCATAGCTGTAGGTATTTTCTTCGCTCACTTTTTTGGTACGTTTCTCCATTGGACTCTTGCTTCGATGCTTTGTGGAATATTCCCTTTAGTTGGGGGAATCATAGTATACAAGGCACCAGAATCGCCAGCATGGTTAGCTTCTAGAAATAGAATTGACGACTGCATAATATCATTCTACTGGTACAGAGGAAAGACTCCATCAATGCAAATCGAATTGGAAAAAATGTTGTTAGACTTAAATAATAAAAATAAATCAGAAAATAAGATGCAAGCCCTTACAGAAAATATAAAGAAACCGGAATTTTACAAACCATTGCTTATAATGATCGTTTTCTTTGTAATTTGTCAGCTCACTGGAGTTAATGTCATCTCTGCATATACAACAGATATGATGGAACAATTAATGGGCGAAAATGCAAATTCTTCTTATACTTATGCAGCAATGTTAAGTATAGATGTATTAAGATGTGTGGCCCTTGGAGTAGCATGTGTTTTATTAAGACGCTTGGGACGAAGACCAATGGCTCTATTCAGTGGTGTACTTACTTCATTATCTTTAATGTCATTAGCTCTATATCTCTATCTTTACAAAATTGGTGTAATACAAAATCTGTCGCTCTTTGTATCATTAGGTTTGATGGCATTTTACATAGCAGTATCTAACATGGGCGTTGCCCTGTTACCGTGGAATATGGTAGGTGAACTCTTTGCAGTTAAAACAAAAGGCCTGGGATCTGGGGTTAGCGTTATGATGACGTCTATTGCTTTCTTTACAGTAGTAAAGTCTGCACCTGCTATGTTTGAAAGTATAGGACATCACGGGACTTATTTGTTTTATGGATTGGCAACTGCGTGTGGGACATTATATTTATACTTTTATCTTCCAGAGACAAAAAATAAAACACTATTACAAATTGAAGAGTACTTTAGACACGGCAAGAAAAGTGATAGAAAAGAAGTATGTAATAATATTTAGAGATTTTATATAAAACTTGTGTCCAATGCGAAATTAAAGTCTGATCTCTTAAATCATATTATGATTATTTAAATTTTTGTGTTAGTTTTTCTTATAGATAAAATGGTAGTAATTTGTATATTACGAATCGTTGTATATACGAAAAATTACATTACAATACAGAATCCGAAAAAATAAATGAGAAATGCACCTACCTGTAGTAAGAAAACAGGGTGGTAATAAAGACTTGTGGTACTCTTAAATTGTCATAAAATACATTATACGACAGTAAATGTGGCGGAAAGTAAGTTATTACGACGACTTTACTACAAAAATCACAGTATTTAAGATTGGGTTTGAGTCACCTCTTTAAATCTATTTTGGAAACAAACGCTTAGATCAAAGCAATACAAGACGAAAGCTAAAATGAAGTTTGTGTTGTGTGGCGTTGGCAATTTGTATACCATACCCAGTCACCACAACTCCGAGCTGATGCCTTATATATTTCTATCAGCTCCAACCCACACCATGCCATTGCATTTAAGATTGAAAAATATTTTAGAGGAGACTTATTTGTGTTAAAATTATTGTTAAGGCAGCTACTATGCAGAGAAAATATGAGAGTTAGGTACTCTCATATAGCACTACCATGTAAATAAAATAAAATAAATAATAATATTCTACCACATCCACACAAGGCCATCTAGTCCCAAACTGAGCAGAGCTTGTACTTTGGGTACTAGACAACTGATATAAATACATATATACTTATTTTTTTTGTAAATACATACTTATTATACATAGAAACACCTAGACCAAATCAAACATTAAATGTTCATGCACACAAATGTTTGACTTGAGCGGGAATCGAACCCGCGACCTTTGGAATAGCAGTCCGTTACCCAAACCACTACGCCATCCGGTCCTCGGCACTTGATGTTATTGTTATTGTGTGTTTATAATCCCCACATCTGCACATTACGATTTTACTATTATAATATGTGCTGATTAGTTATAATTTATTATTGCCGCTGATTTTTTTGCAGTATTTTGCTTATGTTTCTTATGACGTATTTTAATGGAAAACTTTCAACATTATTTGTTTTATGACATACATTTATTTGATGTGAATGAAGTTGAACGATTATCGGCATTGTTTTGTTTCATTTCAAATTGGTATTATCATAATGTAGTTTTACCGGTTTTTCGGTTGTTCCTATGTTTATCATCCGACTTTCTTACTTTTATCTTACTGAATGTCGGACAACACTAACAACATTATGGAACCGACTCATGATAGTCATAGTCTCAATACAGTTAGGAAGCTAATGTTACCCAGTGGCTATATCTATAATGAGGAGCACTTGAGTACCAGGTCCCCCGCTTCTACACCCATTCTAAGAAAGAGTTTTTTTTTTTAATATGTATGTAGTTATTTCTACTATTAGACTAGATGTAAGAAGATACCAATAAGCAATAGGTAAGCATGTTATGAGTTTTTAATTTTTTGGGTGATACCAGATAATGTAATTGAATCCAAAGCTGCTTAGAACCAGTTATACGTATTTTTTTTAAAATTGTTGTTCGACCTCGCTCTTTTTGCAATTTTTACCCGATCTCATGCAAACATATATACACACATATAAATATACACATATATAAATATATATGTGTACATATTATCATCAGAAAATGTTTAAACAATAAGTTATAATATATTATTTACCGGGGTATGATAAAATATCCACAAGCTTAAGAAATACCTTTAAACTTTAGTTAGTTAAATATAGTTGTATAAGAATTAGTGCTGTGAGATAATTAATTTTATTAGGTTGATGAACAAAGTTCATGTTGTATTACCATTATCATTGATAAGTAGGTCCCAGATAGTAACGCAATGTTAACTATCAAGGTAATATAGGTTGTGCAACACCCTTTTTGAGGACAGTAGTAGGATAATATTTATTTAATATTTGGCAACTGTCTCAATGTATGTTTGATAAAATCAAAGTTGTAAGAGCCGTATCAATTACATACAATGTATGTGGTAATGTCTTAATAAAATGAAATTTATGGTGATTAGAATGGAACATAATGAATATTTGTTTTATAACGTATGTCCTATGTATGTAAAAACGTTTGTAGCTAAAAAATTATAATTATATATCTTAATTTTGATTTACTCATTTATGAACAAAAAATAGCCTTTAATTCTACTACAACTTAAACTATTACTATAACATATACTTAAGATTACTTTAATATATTTTATAATTAAATAGGTATGAAATTGTTTGATAATTTCAAATCATTTTTAACTATTAATAGTAGTAGTCGCCTCTTCTGCGCAGGCCTCTCCTTAACCGTTCCACGTATCACGTTCAACCTGAACACCTATACAGTGTATCATATTTTAATACATTTATTTTAAATATCGAATATTAGTCTTCTGACTTGTGTTTTCTACACTTTATAATTATTTGTATCAAAAATATTAGAAATGCAATATTGGGCAATATGTAAGCGGTAATTACATAAGTAATTATAACTGATCGTTATTCATTTTAAAACTTTCTATGTAAATTTACAAGTAACAAAATTATAATACATCTCGTTACATCCATATTGTGTAGCTCATTATTTTGGTAATACATAAATTTAATACAAACAATTCTTTATATAAGTAGGAAATTCAGATAATTATTGACTTTGTACATTATCACTCCAGCAGCGATCGGTATTAGGAACGTATGCACGTTTTGCTCTCGCACAAAATGAGCAAACAACTATTTTGTACAAATACAAGATAAGTTTGCTATCAGTGCCAAAAATGTTTGTGGTTTGTTAAATGGGTTTATATTCCAAGTTTATAAAATATACCGATCACTTCAGTAAGAATATTTCCTCGGGTTGAGTTACAACTTTATATCAATTCTTGGTAACAATAAACCCAATCGGTTAGTTAAAGTATCTTTCAAAATATGCTTAAGAGATTACACTTCTTATGAAGTAACTGATTTTAATGCAGTATTGGCTATATTCTAATCGGTTACTTAAGACTAATTGATTTTAATATAGGCAGAGTTTAAGTACCTATTTATTATGGCATAATAAAAATTACTCTGCCCTCATCTAATTATTTAAATAGTAATGAATCGCCGAAATGCTACAACTTCCGAACGACTGCACCAAATTGGATAATTGTTTTTTTTGTGTTTGTTATTGTCAGGACAAGGTTTGTATAAAAGAAAATCTAATAATAAATGGAACAGTTTTTTAAATCTCATAATATGAAAAGTGAGTGAGTGAATGAGACAGAAGTTTGTGAGAGATCTGTACTATATAAAGGGCTAAAATTTGTGAGTTTGTATGTTCGGGGAAATCTTTGAAACTAAGGGTTCGAATTGAAAAATTATTTCAGTGTTAGAAAGCCCTTTTATCGGGGAAGGATATAGGCTGTAGGCTGTGTTGTTTTACAACCAATATCAAAATCAATGCAAAATGTTGCGAAATTAGTTCCTTTTGGGTGAACCAGACATAGTTGCCCGCGTCAGCTAGTGGCGATAAAAAAATGCGACTTTATTTACAGATGTTTCTTGATTAAACCCCTAAAATTATCGACTTCATCTTTCGTCACATCTGGACCAGCTCGACTAAAGTGTACCGCGGTCTCACAGAAAGCCGGTGTTTAGCAACTCTTTGATTGGATTTTACAGCCTAAGTGAAGTACCAACCCCCTCTCCTCATACTTCGTGCGGGTACACTCAACTTCACCAATCATCAGTATCACATCACATCACATCAGCAGCCTTTAATAGTCCACTGCTGGACATAGGCCTCTCCTTAGAAAGAAGGTTTTGGCCTACTACACCACGCTGGCCAGGCGGGTTGGTATAGGGTTTGTGTCAAGTTTGCCGTCTTTTTGCAGTTCTGGTGTCCTGCGTTGTTTTGCGCCCTTAGTCGGCTCTTACGACACCCACGGGATGAATTGGGGTAGTGACATTCGTATTCTTAATCCGTCACTACACGGACATCATCAGTGTAATTTATAATAATATTATTGAAATAACTACAATTGGGTTCTCATTTTCCTGGTAAGTAGGCTCACTTTTGCTTTATTGGGAGGAAGGTAGATTAGGAATAAATACACAGTTAAAAATAATTTAGAAATGTATTCATTTTTAAATATAAAAGACTTTTAAATGTAAACTTCTATGCGTTCTTAGGATATCTTTTAACTTTTAAACGACCTGATCGACTGGGATAAGGTGACATTCTAACAAACACTTTTGTTATAGGCCACCTTATCATTAAATATCTACATAAGAAGCTATAAATGTACACATTTATAATTAAATAAAACCAGGAACTCGCATGATATTCACAACAACTTATATTTCTTTGTATTAGTAAAATATTCCTTAGTTAAATATTTATAATATTTACCGGTATCTCTGCATTTGCATAATAGGTATAAACATTACAAGATTAACTGAATGTTACTGTATTCAGTAAAATGAGTTTTCTATCCTATAAACGAAATATTTATATTAGTATGGTAGGATTCAACTATTAAAATATCCATAATAAATCTTGTATAATATAAGTTTGTACATTATTTGGGTATTACTTAACACAAAAGACCTTAAAAATAATTTTATAGTTGATGCTCTCACACCTAAAACACTCATTTAACAGAACAACATAAAATTACTATTGTACATTGTTCACCAAGCGGAACTAATGTAAGATGTTTAGTTAAAGGGTGTCCATATATATGTACGCTTAATAAAAACAGTAGGTCAATTTCACAGGCTGTTAAAGTTAAGGCAAGTGGCACGCGTCGCCGATAAATTATCGTTTCTTCCTGTCCTGACATGTGGACCAAAGTACTATAAGATTTGCTACATCTGCGAACATTTTTTTTTCGTTTTCTTTAGAGTTCCCACGTTGGTACGCGACATGTTTGGTCTTACAAAAAACTACCAGGAAAACATCTGGAGATGGGACTTATCTATTTT